TTAAACTGATATTTTTGGGAGAATCCACCAGGAAAGTAGCAAGGCCCTGATTGGATCTCCATTATATTTATAGGGTATTATACTCTATTTAAACCCCATTCCAACTCTGATCGGGTTGCTGGAACGTGCTACATTCCACCAGCTACTGCTTAAACTGTAAGTTTTGGGAGAATCCACCAGGAAAGTAGCGGCCCGCGCGCCTAACGGCGCGCGAATTATATAACTATATAACTAAAAATCACACACAGTAGCAGTACATTCAGGGCAAGTGTGTCTGACATCCCCTGTATCTAAGATGTCCGGCTTAGTTCAGTGCAACACCTGCTTTGCAGCCGTCCTTCGCAGTACCCTTTTCAAACTTGGAAACTGTCCTATCTGGAAACAAATCACTAGCCTACAAGGACAGATCATTTACCTAGGGTCTGTAATCCGTGCTCTTCGGGCAGAAATTAGGTGTCCAGTTCAGCCCCTCTACTCTAGTAAGCCTCCCTGCTATCAGCCCCCTTTACCACAAAGATCCTGCAGGAAAAGGGCCGTGTGGACAACCGTGGGATCTGGCAGGGTGAGAGCTGTGAACCATAAACCCAAAGCTTTCGCTGTGTCCCTGCACAACAGCTACAGTGCTCTTGCTGACCTTAATAGGGACATTAAGGAGACTGGTAAAGGTATTTGTGAAGATAACTCAAATAAGCAGGGGATTGTGGTCCGAGATGAAGAACTAGATTTTGATAGGGAGAAGTGTGAATCAGGTATTGCACATCAGTCATGCAAGAATAGAAAGGCTCCAAAAAAGAGAAGCTACCTTCTGGTAGGTGATTCAATTATAAGGGATGTAAATTTAGGAAAGGACACAGAGGCTTTGAAAGAGGTCAGGTGTCTTCCAGGTGCTACTGCCGGTAGGGACAAGAAGCGTATTTCTAAAATAATCAAGAATGGCAGCAAGGACTGTGATGTGGAGGCTATTGTACACCTTGGCACTAATGATCTGTCCCAAAAAGATTTACTCTCTGTGCAGAATGATTTCCAGAGCTTGGGGAAGGAACTTAGCAGAATAGGCTGTAGGCTTACTTTCTCAGAGGTTTTACCAGTGTATAAGGAGCAAAATGGACAAGGCCAGCGCATAGCACAATTCAATATGTGGCTAAAGGAGTGGTGTAAAGGGGAAGGCTTTGGATATATTAGTCACGATGTCAGTAGCTGGTCCAATCAAAAGATGTACAAAAGAGATGTTTTGCATCCATCAAAAAAAGGGACTGAGTTACTCGGCTATAAATTCACAGATTTTCTGGAGGGAAATTTAAACTACACAGCGGGGACAGGGAGTTAATTGATACGGAACAACCCTGTCCCCGGCAATTTAAAAACTATAGGGCTATCAGTGCATGTAGCACAGATGTGTGTGTGGACAAGAATACCAACCTTGCTACCAATCAAAATGAAGCCTCTAATATCGAGTGCCATATAAAGTGCACTAACCAAATAGGTGGTAAGACAATAGGGGAACTCAGGCACCACACAGGTTATGTAGAAAGGAAACACAGGGCCACCCACAAAGGACTCAAATGTTTATACACCAATGCACAAAGTATGAACAGCAAACAGGGTGAACTAGAAATTCAGGTTAATGAGGCAGATACGATATTGTTGCCATTACGGAAACATGGTGGGATGAAACTCACACATGGAACACACAGCTAGAGGGATTTAAATTATTTAAAAGAAACAGACCAAATAAAAGAGGAGGTGGAGTTGCTCTCTATATAAGAAATAACTACATCTCCACAGAAATAGAGTACAACAATGATAAAAACTGTCTTGAATTCATTTGGGTCAATGCCATAGGTGTAGACTACAGACCACCCAACCAAACAGAGGAAATAGATGAACTTTTTGCTAGTCAGCTAACTAAGGTATGTAGGAAGCACATCACAATAGTAATGGGGGACTTTAACTACCCTGACATCAACTGGGAGACAAACTCCGCACCAAGCGGAAGATCAAACAGGTTCCTGGCAAACCTAGCAGACAACTTTGTCTCCCAAAAAGTAGAGAATGGAACTAGGGGATTAGCCATTTTGGATCTAAGTCTCACTAACAGAGATGAAATTATAGACGGTGTTGGAGCCATAGGAACCCTGGGAGGAAGTGATCATGCAATATTAGAATTCAACATTATAGAAGCACAACCAATAGAACACAGTCAAACTAGAGTCTTGGACTTCCAGAGAGCTAATTTCAATAAACTTAGAGAGGGCTTGGGAAGGATTCCATGGATGAGAATCCTCAAGGGGAAAACAACTCAAGAAGCTTGGGAAATTTTGAAAAATGAGATAATAAAAGCCCAGTCTAGCACAATATCAACAAAGAGGAAAAATAACAGTTCTCAAAAGAAACCAGCATGGCTGCATAAAGAACCCTCTGACAAATTGAAACATAAAAAGGACAAGTATAGAGAAGTGGAAAGAGGGGAACATAACTAGTCAGAATTCAGCAAATAGCCCGAGCCTGCAAAGATGAAGTGAAGAAAGCCAAGGCTCAAAATGAACTGAGGCTTGCGACCAAAGTCAAAAATAACAAAAAAAGCTTCTTTCACCATGTAAAAAACAAGAAAAAAGTGAAGGAAATGATTGGTCCATTAGTGGGTGGAAGTGGCAAGAAGGTGACAAGCAACAGGGAGAAAGCAGAACTATTTAACTCATTTTTTGCATCTGTCTTTACACAAAGGGAAAAGACAGACCAACCTATCAAAAATAGTGCCATAAAAAACAAAACAGAAACACAAGTTAAGATAGGCAAGAAAATCGTTAGTGAGCACCTGTCCAGCCTAGATGAGTTCAAATCGCCAGGACCAGACGGATTACACCCCAGAGTTCTCAAGGAACTGGCAGATGTGATATCGGAGCCACTGAACTATATTTTTCAAAGATCCTTGGAGCACAGGGGAACTACCAGAGGACTGGAAAAGAGCTGATGTAGTTCCCATCCTCAAAAAAGGAAAAAAAATGGATCCAGGAAATTACAGACCTATCAGCCTGACCTCAATACCTGGGAAGATCCTGGAAAAGATAATCAAACGAATCAACGAACACCTAGAGGCAAACAAAGTCATTACTAAAAGCCACATTTGGGTTTGTCAAAAATAGATCATGCCAGACAAATCTTATTGCATTCTTTGACCAAGTGACAAAATTAGTGGATCAGAGGAATGCTGTGGACATAATTTACTTGGACTTCAGTAAGGCATTTGATAAAGTAGATCACAACCTACTACTTGACAAGATAGAAAAATGTGGGGTAGACAGAACCACCACCAGATGGATCCGTAGCTGGCTGACCGGCCGTACTCAGCGAGTGGTCCTCAATGGAACTGCATCTATATGGAGGGAAGTGTGTAGTGGGGTGCCCCAGGGCTCTGTTCTGGGCCCAGTACTCTTCAACATCTTCATCAACGATTTGGATGAAGGGATAGATGGGGAACTCATCAAATTTGCAGATGACACCAAGCTGGCAGGAATAGCCAACACTCCAGAAGACAGGCTTCAGATACAGAAGGATCTGGACAGACTTGAACACTGGGCACTAACTAACAAAATGAAATTCAATGGTGAAAAAAGCAAGGTTCTACATTTAGGCAAGAAAAACCAAATGCACAAGTACAGCATAGGTGGCACCATGCTCAATAGTAGTAACTGTGAGAGGGACCTCGGAGTCCTAGTAGACAATCACTTAAATATGAGCCAGCAGTGTGCGGCAGCTGCCAAAAAGGCCAACACAGTCTAGGCTGCATTAACAGAGGGATAGAATCAAGATCATGTGAAGTATTAATACCACTCTTCAATGCCTTGGTAAGGCCACACTTGGAATACTGCATCCAGTTTTGGTCACCACGATGTAAAAAAGATGTTGAGACTCTAGAAAGAGTACAGAGAAGAGCAACAAAGATGATTAGGGGACTGGAGGCTAAAACATATAAGGAACGGTTGCGAGAATTGGGTATGTGTAGTTTAACGAAGAGAAGGACAAGGGGGGACATGATAGCAGTATTCCAATATCTCAGGGGCTGCCATAAAGAAGAGGGAATTAAGCTATTTTCCAAAGCACCTGAAGGCAGTACAAGAAGCAACGGGTGGAAACTAATCAAGGAGAGAAGCAACCTAGAACTAAGGAGAAACTTCCTGGCAGTTAGAACAATTAATCAGTGGAACAGCCTGCCTCCAGAAGCAGTAAATTCTCCAACACTGGAAGTTTTTAAGAAGAGACTGGACAGCCATTTGTCCGAAATAGCGTAGGGTTTCCTGCCCGAGCAGGGGGTTGGACTAGATGACCTCCAAGGTCCCTTCCAACTTTACTACTATTACTATTACTATCTTTTAATCATAATTGTATGTTTTTACTGTTAATGCTGTAATATGGATGAATGGCCAATAAATTGAATAAATAAATACAAACCAATAAACAGTTCTATCCCCTGCAATATAACATAGGGCACTGTGCTGTACCACCCACCTTGCTCATGGCCTGGCTTAAACTGCTGCCAAATTCGCACGGTCTTGTCGTCGCTACAAGAAGCCAGCCTTTCTCCACTCTGATCAAAAGCCAAGCTCCACACCGTGGACTCGTGTCCTTCCAAGGTGCTGAAGCACACCCAGTCGTCTTCCTCCTCCCGATACAGTTTGACGGTATCATCGTAACTGGCAGATGCCAGCAGCTGGCAGGAGAGAAAAACCCCCAAGAGGGAGACCCAAATCCGCATTGGCAGAAGAACTGAAAGATTTGCAGCCTGCAGGGCCACATGGAAAATGCCCATTTACAGAGAATATCTGCCTTTGTGTCACAAAAAATAATCCTCTAGCTGTTGCAGAAATGCAAAAGGAGAGCTCTCTACCCCACCCCAGAGAAGGAAGCCAGATTCACCTCTTGGTTAGGATGCCAGACGACATGCTTGACATCCTGTGTGTGGGAATTCAAGACACTCATGCACTCGTACTCGTCCTCTTCGTCCACTGTAACAGAGGAGGGGGGAATGTGATAAAAATTGAACAATAAAAATAAAAATCACCACCAGTCAGTTGCAAAAGGCAGCTTAGAACAGTTTACAACTAATGACGATACCTTTAGCACTATCACACATCTGCATCTGCCTATCCCAGGTCCTTGAGAAGGACTCGACAGGTGGACAGAAATGGTAAGTCCAGTTTGAACTTCAGGCTACATGACAAACCATAATAATAATATCACTGGCACTGACAAACTCTCCACCGGTCAATTGCAAAAGGCAGCTTTACTCAAAACAGCTTACATCTTGCCTCGATGTCTCTAACACTATCAAACAACCACAGATCCTTATCCCAGATCCTTGGGAAGGACTTGATAGGCAGCCACTGTGTGAAAGCAGCATAACAGGGTCTGAAAATCCCAATGCCCCCCAAAGGGTGGTCTGCCTCCCGTGGTTCTCCAAGCTCTCGCTCACCTTCCCAAACCCAGACGCTTTTGTCTCGGCTGCAGGTAGCCAGGAGACTTCCAGATGGAGCCCAGGCTACCGACTTCACCTCGTTTTCATGGCCCTCCAGAGTGGCTGCACACTGGTGGAGAAAGAGAGGGGGTGTTTCTTACAGGAAGGGCAACCGGCAATCTGAGACCAGAAAGAGAAAATCCTTGCAGCTGTTATCCTACACAATGCCAGTTCAGTGTATTTTGGAAGAAATCTGTGCTTTGATGAAATGTAATAAAAATCTCAGCTGAAATGGAATGACAACTTTCAGTAATTGTTCCATTGTACAATAAATTAATTTCCAATTCACTTCATTTCCAGCATCTGGAGGGAAAAGAACTACTAATTTAAGCAAGCAAGACGAAAGTAATGCATTCACAATAAAACAAGCTGAAAAAAGTTGCTTCTAAGTATGTTTAAAGTGACTTGGTATTTTTTTCTCCATTGAGATTCTCACTGTTCCATCTTTTTAACCGTATTCCAATTCTGCATCCATGTAAGTCATATAAGATTTAAATCACTCCGTTCTGAACTGTATTTTTCTAGTGAACCCTAAATTGCGCACAGTAAATATTTGTTATTATGAGTTGCAACATTTTCAAATACAGTCATATTTTGTGTACATTCCCCCTTATTTTCTTGCTCCTTGTGGCGCTCGACTGAGAATATTGGAACCAAATGAATCTGCAAGAGCACGGCCTATCTCTCCACTGAGCACATTTGAATTAGAAGCCGCAAAGGGTGTTGTACCTCGAAGTTGTCCTGGTTTTTTTTCCAAATGCAGGTGGTTGCATCAAAGCTGGCCGAAGCCAAGTAGTTCCCACAGGGGGACCAGGCCACTTTGCGGATGGTCCTTTGATGCCCTTCATCCAGAGTGGACTTGCACACCCAGGCATCACCTGGCAAGAGAAAGCTGGTAATGTGGCTTGCAACATCCTTGCCTGATCTTGGCACCCCAAGACTAATCACATTAATCGAGTATCTGGCTTCCCTTTTGGGGGGCTGAGGAAAGAGGGCAGGGAGGAGTCTCATGTCTCTACTAACTGCAAAATTGTGCATTTTGGAGAAGCGAGACATTAATGGTGGTTAAGATTGGGAAATACCCATTAAACCAACCAGTACAGTCCTCAGTTTGGGAGGCAGACAGCATGGTAAGCTACAAGGAAATGGGAGAGGAACGATGGTTTGTACATTCATTAAAGGACGTTCTTTTGGCATCGTATCTTTTTTTGAACGCACCCAGAAACTTTAACCTCCAATATCTGCTCAAGCACATAGGTCGTGTCTTTTTTATTTTATTATATTTATGCCTTTATTATTTTTACAAATAATATATCCACCATTCTTTCTTCCTCCCATTTCCCCCACAATAACTATCCCATGAGGTAGGTTGGGCTGAGAGAGAGAGAGTGACGGGCCCAAAGTCACCCAGATGGCTTTCATGGCTAGGCTGGGACTTGAACTCATGGTTTCTTGTTTTCTAGTCCAGTGGCTCAACTGGCCCTCTTATATCTTACCCAGCTCCAAGAATCTATGCTTGAGTCAGACAGCAAAAGTGAGGGTCCTTGGTGCTCTCCGAGGTTGGCTATTTTCTCGCAGATATTTCATTACCCGAACTAGGTAATATCATCCACGCTGATCATCAGCACTTAGCACTGAGGACGTTACCTAGTTTGGGTAATGGGACGTCTATGAGAAAACAAACCAACTCAGAGAGAACCCGGGACCCCTCATTTCAACCCTGAGCTAGAAATATTCTCCTTTATAGATATCAAAAGTTCCTCTTGTTCTTTTAAGAGATGCACTGTGGACTCTTAGGAGCAGAGCTTTCAGTTCCAAACCTAAAGCCCAGAGATTGGTTGTTTGTTTATTAGGGGACTGCTGAGATCTGGATTCAAATAGGAAAAGAAAATTCAAAACATGTAAACAAACATACACTGCTCCTGCTCTTATCCTTACTCCTTAAATCCAACGCTGCTGCACAAGGTAAGGAAAAGAGAGCTTCTTTTAAGGAGTTGCTGACAACACCAACGAGTGCCTTCATGTTCCAAATTCCTTTTTCTTTTCCCAAACCTGAACACCACACGCTCTCTGCATTCTCCCTTCCTGGAAACGTAAACACCAAGCTGACCACTTGAGCCTACCTTCCTTTCCCCAGATGCGGATGTTACGGTCACCACCACAGGAAGCCAGGAGTGTCCCTGTAGGATTCCAGGCTAGGAACCAACAACGGGAATCCGGGTGTGCCTGGATGCGGGACAGGAGGGTCAAGGAGTCCTTCATTGGAACGCCAAGTGGTCCCAACACGACAGAACCTAAAAACCTGCCAACAAAAAAGGTTTTATTTCAAGGGGAGGGCTTCATTTAATTTGCAGGTCAGAGCGTTTCTTATTCCCGATTTTAACAAGGGCTTCCATGCTGCAATTCAAGAATCCCTCGAGCAAAAATTGGAGCGATAGGAAGGTTATGGATGCCTTTGAACTGTGGTCTTGGAGTAGATTCCCGAGAATGCAAGAAAACCAACCAATGGACTATCAAACAAATGGTCCCATAGTTTTCATGACAGGCACAAACGATCGAATTCAAGTGATCCTACTTTGGACTATGAAAGACCCAGCTCTTCGGAGAAAGCGCTAAGGCTGGGAAAGGTGGAAGGAAAGAGACAAAAAGGAGGGCGAGCCGTCCCAAGTTCTTGAGACTCGGGCAGCATGCCCATTTAATAAACTACAGGTAGTCTTTGACTTAGAATCACTTGTTTAGTGACCGCTTGAAGTTACGACAGCACTGGAAAAAGTGAGTTATCACCATTTTTCACACTTTTTCACCCTTACAGCATCCCCAGGGTCATGTGATCAAAACTCAGAGCCTTGGCAATTGACTCGTCTTTATGACGGCTGCATTGTCCCAGGGATCACGTGATCCCCTTTTGCGTCCTTCTGACAAAGGCAACGGGGAAGCCAGATTCACTTAACGACCGTAGTGATTATCCTAACAACTGCAAGGATTCACCTGAAAGCGGTGGCAGGAAAGATCGTAAAAGGAGGGCAAAACTCGCTTAACAACTGTCTTGCTTAGTATCGGAAATTTTGGCTCAATCGTGGTCGTACGTCGAGGACTACCTAGTACTGTTATCATCCTCATCAGGAAAATAATATAGAGACTGCAATTTACAGCCCCGTTTTTCGCTCCCGCGGGAGTTTCGGCCTCGGCCCTCACCTGAGATTCAGCCCAAGGCGGCCCCTGGCTGGGAAGTATGGGCTATGTGGTCAGGCGCTGCAGGGGCTGCCCGCCGTTCCTTGTTATCAGGCTTGGAGCGAACAGCGCGGACGCCCCTTGAACGGGCAGCACCGGAAGTCTCACCGCTAAGGCTGTTGGGATTCGTAGTCTTTCCCCCCCCACCACTTGTTTCCTTTGAGCAGCGCTAAGAGCCTGGGTCTTCCAACTTGGCCCTTCCATGACTTGTGGACGTGCCTGGCTGAGGAAATCTGGGAGTTGAAGTCCACAAGTCATGAAAGGGCCAAGTTGGAAGAGCCCTGGCTAAGAGAGAGATCTCGCCAAGGAAGCTCCAGCTCCCAAGACCAAGGCGGGTGTTTCGCCAAGGCCATCCTCGCAACCCATTTCTGTGTGCGTGTGATTGTGCGTTTGGGTGTGTTGTGGTGGGGAATAGTACAGTAACGGCAGTTCGCTTTTGTGACGCGACCGAGGAGCGCGGGGGCAACGCGACGCCATGACGCCGTGACGTCACGCGGGCGCGACCCAACGCCGGGACGTCGCCTCTAGGGGGCGGAAGCGGAAGCGCGGCGGCGGCCGGGAAGTGGAGGGAGAGGTGGTTTTGTCAGGCTCGGCGGCCCCTCGGCGCGGTCGCGAGGGCAGCCCCACTGAGGCCTGCCGCGGCTCAGGCGTCGGGAGCGGCAGCGGTGAGGAGGGCGCGCGGGAGGGCGGCGCTACTCGGTCTGGCCCGGGGCGAGTCGGGGTCTGAGGGGCGTCCCGCTCCTCTCCACCCCCGACTGGGCTGCGTGTCGTGTGAGCCCGGACGGTCTCTTCACGTGACCGGCCTGGAATGGGACTCCTCGTTTGGGTTGTGGGGTTCTGGGATTCGTTGACCCGGATTTCGGGTTCCGCGCGTTGTGTGAACCCGGCCAACGGAGTTGGAATGCTAATGATGAGGATGAGGAAGATGGGTGAATGGGGAGGGGGCGGTTGAGAGTACTCTATGTGCAGCCAGCTGAGGCTCAAGAGTGTTATTTTTATTTGTAGAAGTTATCGGTTCAGGTGAGATAAGATAACAGTCATTTTTTTCTGTGAACACACTGGCACACATTAAAAAATGAAATTCTGATGCCTGCTTTCAAAGGAATATATATAATATAAACCCACATGTATAGGTACACACACACATATATACAGATGCACACTTGTATATACACATATAAATATTTATCACAAACTTCCTTGTTGCCCAAGTTGAGATGGTCCTTGGTCACCATATGACTCTGACATATGAATTCTTAAAACAAGTAAAAAAAGATAATAGTGAATAGTACTAGTTAAAATAAAATCTAGCAACATGGGGCAGGAAATACCAGGAAGCAAATAAAAAACCTTTGCTATCACTGCAAGGTCATAAATCACCCATCTTTTGTTGAAGGCAGTAAAAGTAACCTGTAACTTGAGAGTCACTCTGGTTTGGCCAACACCTAAATTGCAGCCAGAGAAAATGGAGAGAAAAATTACATGGTCAGAGAACGTTGGAAAAAGGAAATCGGAGTTTGGGAAAGACAAAGAAAGATTATTTTCTGGCCTCTCAAAGGCTCCACTATAGAGTTGTGCAGTTTGGATTTGAACAACTGCTTATCCAGGACCTTTTATCCTCTTCCTCTCCTCCTGTTTTCCCAGGCACAATTTTTTTTTTAGGGAATGGTGGTTAGCTTTTCATCTGGCCAGGTTCAAAGTGTGTGCCTGTGTGTTGCCTTGAGAAAAATTCCTTAAGGTGAGATGTAATACAGGAAGAAGAGAGCCACAATCTGTTCTCTTTCATTCCGTTGGAATAAAAGTCACAGGAAGACAGATTCTGGTTGAATGTTGGGAAAAACCTTACAGCAATACAGGCAATTCTTGACTTATATTCAAAATTGGGATCAGAATTTCCATTTCTAAGCAAGTTGTGCCAGATTTCATAACCTTTTTTTGCCACAACTGTTAAGCAAATCACTGCAATTGTTAAATGAATAACAATGGTAGTGCTATTTAAGAGTGGTTAAGGAAAGGGTTGCTTCTTATCAGATTGCTTTGCTGAGAACAAAAGAGTGTGTGAATATATCCTGGCCTTGAGAGTAAGAGCTCCCATCATGTTTATATTCCTCAAATGGCGGTTAGCATCTTTAACATTGCTGTCAGTATGGTGGAGACATGTGTGGCCTTTGTCAAACTGTTTTTAGATGTTAGTGGTCTTGAAACGAAAGACAAAGGAATGTTTTGTGAAAATACTGTGCCAGACCCCAGTTGCTTTAAAGAAAATATCCTTGTGACTATTGGGCTTAATCCCTTTCTTCAGTCTGAGAATTATTGTTGTCCTTCACATTTTTGCTAACCGGATTCCAAGCTTCTTCACGTGCCTTTATTGGGAACCAATATTGTTGGTTTTTTTCTCTGCTTGATCTTGGCAAATGTCTGTAACATTTTCCAGCCCAACGATTAAACTCTGGTAGCTAGAAGCGAACTTAGACGCATCAACCCATACCCTGGCCAATTAGGAGCAAGACTTTCTTGTCCCATCTTGTATCTGCATGTCATCAGTTGTCTCTTTTTGCTTCCTCAACAGAGTCCAGAGATCACCCCTCTTCTGATGTCATGTCCTGTCTGCAGGCCTTGTGTTAATCTGCCGTCTCCTGGCTAGTATCCAGTAGCACTGGCAGTACTGACCTCTGAAAATCTCAAGTGTTTCAGTCGCATTGGGTTTATTTGACCGGACATCCGAAAGGAGATCCATGTATACCCCAAGTGGTTCAGTGTTGCCCAGCGGCCGAAGGCGAAGAGGGCAAGATGGCAGTGCCTTGCCAAAGCAACCCGAAAGGAGCCTGGCATCTGCCTTGCCCGGGGCCCTCTCGATAACGGCCCTGTGCACTGCCTTGGCAGAGCCTGCCTGGCTAAGGATTCATGGGGGCACCTGTTCTCGCCAGGAGCTGGGTGTTGCCGATGTGCTGGGATACATTGACCCGGATCTACTTAAAGGTGAGAAGGAAATGAAAAAGGGATTGGATTGGTGCTCTTAAAGATAACCATAGATTGGCCTGGCTGTCTGATCCTCCGCTGTTTATTTGGCCAGAGTCATGGTCACCTACAGTAGGTCAGTGTTTTTCAACCTCAGCAACTTAAAGATTGTGGAATTATGCATCCCGGCTGGGGAATTCTGGCGATTGAAGTCCATGCATCTTACAAGTTGCTAAAGCTGAGAAAGACTGACCTGGGTGGTAGACGTGCTGCAGGTTTAAACTAACTGCTTGCAAAGGGGAAAACCATTTCTTGTGAAGATCTGCGGGTGGAAAGGAAATTTCTGCTTCATCTTAAAGAGAACTTCACTGTCTTCTCCCTAATGTTAAATCTGTATTTTGTCTTGAGGTTCAGCAAGCAGATTTCTGAGGTTCTAAGCCAGGGGTAGGCAACCTTGGTTCTCTTATGACTCGTGGACTTCAACTCCCAGAATTCCTGAGCCAGCATGGCTCAGCTTGGAGACCTCTCCCTTTCCCTTCAGCGTGGCTGGCTCAGGAATTCTGGGAGTTCATTTTCATCCATTAAACACACTTTTTTTTTATAAACCACGCAGTTTGAGATATTTTCCTTCCATCCAAACTCAGCCTTCTGTAACTTTGACTCCTCGAGATACATGAATTTTTTAGAATCCTGAGTAAGAGCTTCACTGGGCAATTCTGAGAGACAAATTATCCATATCTGAAGAATATCCCAGTAGCAGAAGGCTTTGTCGGAATCAGAATATTCAGTAAATAATATTGCATTGGGCTATAGACATTTCTGAATTTGTGAAACAACGAAGCATTTCTGATCAGAAGTAATGCCACTAACGCAAACTACTCTTTGATTCTATCTTCCTCCTTCTAGACTACTGCATGAACCCCCAGACGGTGTTGTTACTTCGGGTGATTGCTGCTTTCTGCTTCTTGGGAATCATCTGTAGCCTTTCAGCTTTCCTTCTCGACGTCTTTGGGCCCAAACATCCTGCACTGAAGATTACTCGGCGTTACGCCTTTGCTCACATCCTTACAGGTAGCTGGGCAGCCTTGGCTTTGTATTCTGCTTTGTGTTCCTTTGGGGAGCTCCCGTGGGGCTCCCACAACCGTCCATTTCTCTTACTGGTCCATCAAATACTTACATCTTTCCCCATCTATGCTTTATCTAGACCCTTTTGTGTGTTCCTACAGTGTTAATTTTCCCCCTCGTGAGATTTTAGAGCTTATGCGCCATATTGCTTTACCGAGTCCCATCTGCATTGAAGGCACAATTAGTTGCTCTCTCTCGCTCTCTCTCCCTCCCTCCCTCCCTCTCTCTCCCTCCCTCCCTCTTTCTCTCTGTGTCTCCCTCCCTCCCTCTCCCTTTCTCTCCCTCTCCCTTTCTCTCTCTCTCTCTCTGTCTCTGTCTCTGTGTCAGCCTGAGAAAGAGTCATTGCCCGTGCCCTCCTTTCCCATGTTTCCATCTGTCTTTTCCTTCTGCCCACAGTGCTTCAGTGTGCCACCGTGATCGGGTTTTGCTACTGGGCTTCGGAGCTGATCCTCGCACAGCAGCAGCAGCACAAGAAGTACCATGGCTCGCAAGTCTACGTCACGTTTGCCGTAAGCTTTTACTTGGTGGCTGGAGCTGGCGGGGCGTCCATCCTGGCCACGGCCGCCAACCTGCTGCGCCACTACCCCACTGAAGAGGAGGAGCAGGCCTTGGAGCTCCTCTCCGAGATGGAGGAGAACGAACCTTACCCCGCCGAGTACGAAGGGATCAACCAGTTCCAGCCACCTCCGGCTTACACGCCGTAACGCTTCCCCAGACGATGGCTGGGGCAAGGGGGTTTCTTCCAGCCCGTCCCCAAAGTCAACCTGCACACAATTGCTTGGGAATACGTTCCTTTCTCTTCCTGGAACCTCCTGTTGTAGGTGTTTCTCCCCCTCCTTCCTCCCCCCCCCCGTGGATCTGCTCCCTTTTACCGTTTCCTGTCCAGGGAGAGGGCTGCAGAAGACCTGCTCCTGCAGTGGCCTCCGAAGCAGTCGTGTTCCGAAGCAATTGGGGGACAGTTGGGGTGGGGTTTGAACCTCAGGCATTCAGGGGCCACAACAAATGCCCGACGTTTTCTAGCTGCAAAGAGCTGCAGAGCTCAGGGGCTCCAGAGAGAGGTCTGGAGAGAGGAAAAGGAGGGTGCAAAAAGGAAGGCACGTAGACAGATTGATTGAACGGGAAAGGGCTGGGGGTGGGGTGGGGGGAGGAGGAAAGGGTTCCACCATTTTTGGCATTGCGCTAGGACGTTTCGCAGTGGTGGGCGTGTGGGTAGCGGAGAATCCAGCCGTCCTGTACCGCCACCTGCAGAGCTCCTGTCTCTCCTTCGGGAGAAGAGCAGAAGGGGACTCTCAGATGTTC